GCTCTCTCAGCCCCACCTACCGCACAGGGTGTCTGCGGTGGGGAGGGGAAGGGAAAGGAAAGGAGATTGCAAGCCGCTCTGAGACTCCGAGTGAAGGGTGGAGTATATTCTTCTTCAAGAGAGAGGAACAGAACAGTTTGCCATGGCCCACCTCTGCCTAGGGACCTTCTGCATGCCAAGTACTCACATGAGATGTGGAACTATTGTACTCCTGACGGTTTTTTTATACAAAGGAATTGTGGACTAATTGTATTCCTACTTTGTATCAAGTACTTTTTGATCCTAGCTCTTTAAATATGCAGGGTGTAATGTCATAGAGCCCACCCTCCAAGCAGCCATTTTCTCCGGGGGAACTGACCGCTATTTGGTTGGAGATCGGCTGTAATACCAGGAGATCTCCAGGCTCCACCTGGAGAATGGCAACCTTAGTTGCAGAGCACTTGGTGTTCTGTATACAGGCTCCCAAGCTCCGGCCCTGGGCGGCTGCCAGTTTTCAGAGAGGACCAGGTTGACTTAGACAGATTCAGGGTAAGGCAACTTTTCATCGATGCAATTAATCCACGCACCTTCCAGCTTGTGTATAATGAGGTGTCGCTATCTTGTTCCCAAAGGAAATGGAATTGCGGAGTTTATCCATTTCTCTGTCAGCGTGTCTCCAATCCCTTCCCCTCCCTCTTGACCCATTCCTAGGTTCTGTAGTATGAGTGGGAATATAAAGATTTTTATATATAGGTTTTTTCCTTCTTGATTGTTCGTATTCATATTTCTCTGGTTTTTACAGATTTATTCTTTAAGTAATATTTCATTAGGATGTTAGAAAGGCCTGTTCTATAGAAGGCTTTCCTCTGGTCGGTCTGATATCGTTAGCAGACAACGTAATAGGTACAAAGTTCATGATTCTGTAGTTCTTAGGGCAAACCTTTCAATGTCTGGGTCAGAAGAAGATTTTAGTCTCCTATGAACAGGGCCGGCTCGAGGTGTTTCTGCGCCCTAGGCAAGGCTGCCTTGTGGCACAGATGCCAACCTCCCGGTGGGGCCTGGAAACCTCTGGAGCCAGCCACCCTTTTGCTACCACCACCACTGCCTCCCACCCCCGCAGCTGTCGGACCCAGTGAGTGCGCCCCACATGTTCCTGCAGTGCCCTCCAAGATGGAAGAGAGATTTCTCTCGTGCTCCGCTTCCGAAGGCAGTTTGGGAGGGAAGTGGGGGGGATCCTGTCTCCAGGCGGGGGATGCACACCGGACGCCTCTCCCTAATTAGTGAAGCACTTGGAGAGCTGCTCGCGGGCTTTTGGCGGGGGGGAGGTACAGCTCGGCGCCCCATCCAGGGCCCAGCACTCTAGGCAAATGTCTAGTTCGCCTAGTGGGTGAGCCGGCCCTGCGTATGAAGATTCCTTGCCCATTATCATTTAGGTTAGGTTAAGTAAACACTTAGTTTGACGTAGATATATGTTTCTTTACATCTGGCCAATCAGAGGATTATTACTCAAATGACCACTGTCTTTTGTAACCAATTACGCTGTTTGAATATTGGTTTTTTTTGATGATGTCAGTCCATGTATAAAATATCATGCATTTCCTGAAGATGTTCAGAATAGGTTCAAGGAGAAGATGAAGAAGAAAAAGAAGAAAGTTGTCAATTTTTGATGAGTTATTTGGTCTGATTCTTTTCCTATTAATTGAAGCATATTTCCTGAATATGCTGAGAAGAAAGTAGTCATTTTTGGATGGACTATTTGGTCCAATTGTTTTTCCTGTTAATTGAAATAAAACATAGATCTTCCTCCTCATTTGACATGGAATCTAATATGTACAACACTCATCAGAGCAAAAGACATACAGAGGCGTTTGCCATCGCTTGCCTCTACGTAGCAACCTTTGCCTTTTTTTGCTGGTCTCCCATCTAAGTACCAACCAGGGCTGATTTCACTTAGCTTTCGAGATCTATCAAGATCGGGCTAACCTGGGCCATGCAGGTCAGGGCAAATGACATGCAGAGGTAGTTTGCCGTTGCCTGCCTCTGCCTAGCAACCCTGGACTTCCTTGGTGGTCTCCCATCCAAGTCCTAACCAGGGCCGACCCTGCTTAGCTTCTGAGACCTGATGAGATCGGGCTAGCCTGGGCCATCCAGGTCAGGGCAAACGACGTGCAGAGGTAGTTTGCCGTTGCCTGCCTCTGCGTAGCAACCCTGGACTTCCTTGGTGGTCTCCCATCCAAGTCCTAATTGGGACTGACTCTGCTTCTGAGATCCAGTGAGATCCGGCTAGCCTGGGCTATTTGGGTCAGGGCCTCGACAAGTATACGGTTCCATTGATTATAATCTTAGTGCATAGGGTTACCAACCTCCAGGTAGGGCCTGGAGACTCCCCCAAATCTGTTGCAGAGGACTTTTAGCCACACAGTTTTCATTTCAGACCGTTCCTTGCTGACTGGGTAGTAGCCTGAAGTGGGCCGCCAAACTCTGTCGGAGAAAGGCAGGAGACACTGTTTTAAAAAAAAACAGACCGAATCCGTCACAGCACAACAAAGGAAACCCTTTACACAGCAAGTGATTACTACGTGCAATTCACTGCCAGAGGAGGTAGTGGTGGCCATAGGCAGAGACAGCTTCAAAAGGGGATTATGCAGATTCATGGAGAAGAGGTCTGTTAGTGGCTACTAGCTGTGGTGACTGAGGGGAACCTCCACATTCAGAGGCAGTCAAGCTGTGAAGCCCAGAGCCAGGAGGCAACAGGGAAGGCCTCGGCCTCCATGCCCTGTTCCAGAGGAAGTGGTTGGCCACTGGGTGAGACAGGATGCTGGACTGGATGGACCCTCAGTGGTCTGATCTAGCAGGGCTCTTATCAGGGGAAGGCCTCGGCCTCTTTGCCCTATTGTTGGCCCTCCAGAGGAACTGGCTGGCCACCGTGTGAGACAGGATGCTGGACTAGGTGGACCCTCACTGGTCTGATCCAGCAGGGCTCTTCTGAGGTTCTTGTCAGGGGAAGGCCTCGGCCTCTCTGTCCTGTTGTTGGCCCTCCAGAGGAACTGGCTGGCCCCTGTATGAGACAGGAGGCTGGCCTAGATGGACCACCGGTCTGATCCAGCAGGGCTCTTATGTTCTTAAACCCAGGCCGGCCAGTGATGTGGACACTCTCGGATCTCATTATGAGGCCGGGTTTCGCCAGCCCGTCTCTGTAATGTGCGTGCCGAGCTCATCTGTCATCCAAATTTTCCACTTCCCCAGACTCTTACATAAGGAGAGGAAATATCTGACAGCGAATCTCTGGAGAGTTGGGTGGGTTTTTTTGTTTTTGTTTTTTGTTTGTTTGCACATCATTTCTCCTTGAAGCGACGGGCCAGCCAGACACACCGGAGCGCCGTTTTCCGTTCCCGATGTGCCGAAGAGCATCCCTAAAAATAGACGGCCACATGACAGGCACGGCGAGGTTCCTGCACACTTCGGCTGGACATGCCCAGTCGATGGCCAGCGTGGGCCCCCCCCCCCCAACGCTGCTACTCAGCCAGAGAAAAGCCTGGCGCATCCCCAAAGCTGGAAGCGGCTGAGTTGGCAAAGAAAGAGGGACAAAGAGGCCCGGCTTCCAAAAGCCACTTCTCCACATCTCTCCCAAAGCTCTGCTCCACCTGCCCAAGGGACCTTTTCTGCAATTGCAATGCATCAGGGAGGCGGAGGCGGAGCGTGTGGGAGGAGAAAGGAAAATAACCTGCAAACACCTGCCCCCCCCCCCCCCCAGGGAATTCACCCAAACATCTCCTCCTGCATTCTGGGGGATGTAGTCCACCTTTGCCTACCGGACCCGGAGTGACAGGCAGGTGGGAAACTACATCTCCCAGAATGCCCTGCCACTCAGGGGTGGAGGGGAGGGGAGGGGCCCCCGCCTGGTGTTTGCATCTTCCAGGACTTGGACTGCGCTGCCCCACGCCTGGCCGTAAAGGGGGAAGAGCTGGCCGCTCTGCTGGGGGGGGAGTGGGCTGTGGGGGGGTTGTTGCCAGGCAAAACAGGGGCTGGGGGGCTGTTTTTGCTGGGGGGGGTGGGAAGGGGGAATAGACGCTTTTGCCTGCTGGGGAGGGAGGGAGAGAGAGAGACAGAGAGAGAGAGACAGCCCAGGGTGGCGTGGAGATGAGGGCAGGTGCATCCAAGTTTTTGGTACCCAGCGTGGTACCCAGGATGGAGCTGGGCAGAAGATGCTGTTAGTCCTTTGTTTGCAAACAGACTCCCCACCCCTCCAGGAGATGCTGCCCCTCTCTCAGGCCAGGGGGGGGCACCTTTCCAGAAACGACGAGCTGTCGGGGAGGATCAGAACAGTCTGGCGACGAGGGGACGATCCAGGGCGAAATGATGGGGGGGGGGCAGTGTTCCCTCTAAGCTGAGTTAGTGTGAGCTAGCTCAGAGTCTTTTAGCCTCCGGCTCACACCTTTTTGTCTTCGCTCAGGAAGGAAGGCTCCAGAGCAAACTAATTTATGTGACAGCCATAAATCGCTGGCTCACAACTTTAATGCCAGTAGCTCACAAGGCAGAATTTTTGCTCACAAGACTCCACAGCTTAGAGGGAGCATTGGATGTGAGTCTTCTGCGAGGACAACACGGGCTGGTCTCCAAGGGGGCGGCGGGGGGGGAATGGATAGTGGCTTCATCGGGGTCTCCCCCGCCTGGGAGGGCTCGGCTGGGCGGCTGGGGAACTTAGACACCCGCGCTAGAGTTTGGTTCTGTCGCTTCCGCGATTGCATTCCTCTTCCCGGAGAGTGGCTGCGAGCGGAATGTGGGTTTGGGGAAAGGGAAGCGTGGGGCGGCAACAGTTTTCAAGCGCTCCGCACCAGCCGCCCCTGTCGCTGTCAAAACACGGAGAGAGAGAGAGAGAGAGGCAGATCTGTGCTTCTGTTACTCTTTGAGCGTCTCCTCTTTCCTCCCCACCCGACAGGCGCTTCCCAGAGTCTCTGTTGATTGCTCTCCTGGATAAGGCCTCGGACTGACTCCCCGATAAGTGGGCGTATGCTCCCGGAGGAGCCGTGGCTCAGCGGCAGAGCCTCTGCTTGGAAAGCAGGAGGTCCCAGGTTCGAGCCTTGCCAGCTCCAGTTAGAAGGACCAGGCAGGAGGTGATGGGAAAGACCTCGGCCTGGGACTTTGGAGAGACATAGTCATGGGCTGTGGCTCAGTGGCAGAGCACCTGCTTGGCATGCAGAAGGTCACAGGTTCAATCCCCGGCATCTCCAGTTAGAAAGGACCAGGCAGGAGGTGATGTGAAAGACCTCAGTGGCTCAGTGGCAGAGCACCTGCTTGGCATGCAGAAGGACCCAGGTTCAATCCTCAGCATCTCCAGTTAAAAGGACCAGGCAGGAGGTGATGTGGAAGACCTCCGCCTGAGATCCAGGAGAGGCAGAGCACCTGCTTAGCATGCAGAAGGTCCCAGGTTCAATCCCCGGCATCTCCAGTTAAAGAATCAGAAAAGAGGAGATGTGAAAGACCTCAGCCTGAGACTCCAGAGAGCTATGGAGGGGGGCTGTGGCTCAGTGGCAGAGCCTCTGCTTGGCAGGCAGAAGTTCCCAGGTTCAATCTCCAGCATCTCCAGTTAAAGAATCAGAAAGGAGGTGACGTGAAAGACCTCAGCCTGAGACCCTGGAGAGCTGCCGCCAGTCTCAGTAAACAATACTCACTTTGATGGACCAAGGGTCTGATTCAGTAGAAGGCAGCTTCATTTAGGAAGGGGGCCACGATTCAGTGGCAGAGCCTCTGCTTGGCAAGCAGAAGGTCCCAGGTTCAGTCCCCAGTTTCTCCAGTTAAAAGGACCGGACAGTGGGGGATGTGAAAGACCTCCGCCTGAGACCCTGGAGAGCGGCTGCCAGTCAGAGTTGACAACACCGACCTTGCTGGACCGAGGGTCCGATTCCGTATCAGGCAGCATCCTGACCACAGCCTCCCCTATAGTTTCCCAGGGGGAGGGAATTTTTGGAGATCTTCTCCCTGGTGCCTCCCTTGTTTTGGATCTACCTGCTTCAATTTGCATCGTGAAGCTGAAAACAGCCCTCCGTGGGTTCTGATCTAGGACCGGGCGTTCTCCGAGATGTCCAGTGATCGCTGCGTCTTTGCACGCTCCTTTCCCCTTCCAGATAGAAAACCTTCACGGCCAGTCGGGGTACCTCGCCAGGCTAGCACACACACACACACAAACCCCGGAGATACCTGGGCACTATGTGTCAGCTGGCAGACTTGCCTCTGGGCACATGTTTGTGCAGCTTAGAAGCACCACGCTGCACACACCAGCCCGGCAAATTACGCAAATCATGTTTGCCCATCTTTCCCTCTTCCTTTTATTTACACGGCAGAGCTGCTGTTGAATGGGAGCGGGTGGGTGGGTGTTTACTCCGTTTCTGTGGCGGCTTCTCTCCATCGGTTTGATCGTGTTGCCGTGGGAATCTTCTGCTGAAGCAACCCGAGGGTGCTTCTGCGGTAATGACGGCTGGGAGACTAACGCCTTTAGGGAGCGGTGCCGTTGGCTTCGGGTAGGTTCTAGATCAGTGGTGGCGAACCTATGGCACGGGTGCCAGAGGTGGCACTCAGAGCCCTCTCTGTGGGCACGCGTGCCATCGCCCCAGCCAGGCCCAGACCCTCATTAAAGGGTCGAATTCTCTGCCAAATCATTTTAAGTCAATGAAAGCATTTGGGATTGCTTTCCTGACTTTGTCTGTATCATCTTAAATTAATGTATGGGTTGTTTTTTCTAAAGTAAAACCTCAGTATTCAGGTTAAATTGCCGTGTTGGCACTTTGCGATCAATAAGTGGGTTTTGGGTCGCAGTTTGGGCACTCGGTCTCTAAAAGGTTCGCCATCACTGTTCTAGATGGCTCCGGTTAAACATAGACGCCAACGGCTAATCTCTAAATCCCACCAAGATGAAGGAAGGCCTGGAAATGGAGCTGCCGTCTGTCTCTCTCTCTCTCTCTCTCCCCTCACTCCACCGATAATTTACGTAACAGAGATAATTCCAGAGGAATTATCTGGCGTGTGTGTGGTGGTGTGTGTTGTTTTTTTTTTAATCTGGTTAGCCCAGACTTGGGCCTATATTTAGTGCTCCAATGACCCCGATTGCCACTTTTTATTTTCGGAGGGGATCTTATGCCTGCGTATGTGTTTGTGTTTGTGTGTGTGTGTGTGTGGAAAATCCCCCTGTCAGTTGTTTTCAGGGAGTCCTCGCGAGCGGAGGTGAAGAGAATGCTCCAGCCGGCTTTTGGCTTTTCTTAACCTCATCTTGGGTTTTGCCTTTCTCTGTCTTCTCTTCCTTGGGGAATCCACCTGCCTTCGTAGATTTGCGGGAAACCGTCTCTGCGGAAATGTCCCTGTTGAA